ACATAATTCTAACTATAAATTTACATAAAAAGTAGCAAAATAATGTTGGTAGCAATAAAATGAAAATAAGCAAAAATAATTTTTACAGAGAAACAAATAACTAGTTGCTTTTCACCACATGTTAAGCTAATAATAGTTAGTGTTGCAAATAGCAATAGGATCTAATTTTTCTAAGTAGTAAGTACAATATTACACACAAAATGGTGAAACTTACATGTAAACTTGTATAATTATTAGCATATTTAATGTATGTACATTTTTATTTTACGAGTAATTGGATAACGGTATGGGTATACTACTACACTCTTTGTAAAAGTCTTGATCATACATTGACTTCCTGTTCTTTTGATTTCCAATTGCCGAAGTGATGGGAATCGCATACAAAAGAATAAATCCTCTATTTCTGTTGTATTAGTATCTGATGACTCATTAAGATAGTTACACACTATACTCATTGTTTTGATGCTTGCATGTGATCCTAGCATATTAAAAATCTCAGGTAAAGCTTGTTCATAGAAAAAAGGTTTCATCATTTTTTGCTCATCATAAGAAGTCCAGCTATCTATTTGGAAGTGAAGTTCAAGTTCTGTTATATTATCTGTTTGGGAGATGACATTAAGAAATCTTCTCATGTCTTTGTTAGTAATAGGAAGGAAAACAGGTATACTCAACTGTCTTAGACCAGTGTTACACATAATACCAGCTGTTATGGTAGAAATATATGAACTAGCACTACACTTTTCATGAGAAAAAGAGCGAAAACATGCTGTATTACTGCAGATTGTATAGACACTTCCTCTCTTAACTTCCACTCTCAGAGCTTTAAGAGTGGCGTCGGATTTTAAAATAGTAAAGAGTTCATCAATGCTCTCTTTTGTGTCCAGTTGTATAGTAAGTTGTTGTAGATCAGGATAAGAGTTGAATATGAGACATGGTGGGTATGAAATTCCAGGTAGTATTAGACATTTTAATTCTTTGATGCAAGGGAGAATTGAATTCATTAGTATACTACCTCCTATATCTAGAGCAGTCAATTTTGATTTTGCCTTTATTTCATTCATTGGTGATGAAATAAAACCGTTCGGTATGTGAAGCGAAAGAGCTTCTAATGTGTTATTGTCCCTTAGTAAGCTCTCTAATATAGTACTATCAGTTAGAGCATGATCATCAGGATCACCAGTTTGCCTTTTAAAAACTATAATTCTGAATGATTTTATTATTTTGTTTTGGGCAATTCCTTTCATAATACAAGCTATGAATGGTTCAAGAAGTTTATTCTCGGATGAATTATTAGCAATCACTTGTATAGTAAGTTCTTGTAATTTTGAATTTGTTTTGATGCATTTTTCAAGCTCAGAACATTTTCTAATATAGGTAGTCTCGTCATTTGTGCAAATATCTCCAGTAAGGTCCAGTGTTTTGAGTTGAGGTAAAGTGATTAACTTTAACAATATAGGAACCAAGTCACATGTATTGTGCTCAAAAATAACATATATCCATTGAATATTATGCAATAGTGGCTTCCCCAAAAAATTAAGCATTAAATTACCATCAGAAACATTTTTAAACCACATATTTATTGCCTTGCACTTACTTGCTGATGATGTGTTGCTTAATCCAGTAGTCAGTACTGATAAAGATTGCTCATCTAATTCTCCCAAATGCAAATGGTTCAATTCTGCATTATTTAAGAGATAACTGAAACACAACCATCAAACA